ATTCTGTTTTTGGTCATAGGTCGGTTTTTCAATTTGCCACTTCTTTCGCACTATTGTCCGTGCAATCCCGTACTCATCCCACGTTTTGGCACTCGAACCTGGGATCGAAATTTTGGCAGTTGATTTCTCGAAGCTCTTTGGCAGAAAGCATTCCGCTTTATGCTAAAGTGGAATGAGTAATGTTCTCACTCGAATTTATACTCTGATACGAATTAGAGATACATTAGTACTTTCTCGTAGTCTACATGGAAGACGGAATATTTGTGAAGATATATGAACTCGATAGTTATTCAAGGATATTTTCAAGTATACTATTATTTCATACTATTGATAATAAGATATTTTATACGCTGAAAAAAATACTAAATTTTAATAAATACTTGTTTAAATATCTACTCTAAGATATTCAAACAATCTATAACAATAATAAATATTTAAACCTAATTTAAAATATAAATAATAAAATATTCAAACCTAATACAAATCTAACAACAAATATTCAACCATCTAATAAATATTTACTAAATGTAAATATATATTTATTTGATACAGAAATTATTTTAATTTGATTTACTCAGTTTTTTACTGAGTAAATATTTCTTTTACTGTAAGTAAATGTTTACTTAGTACTATTCGAAGAAATATGTATTAAAATTTAGTAATTTTTGTTCAGTGTAGTATCACATATAGTACCTTTAATAAAGATTACTCTCGGGATTACTGTAATAAAATTTTCTAATGTCGTTATTTGCTCTTTCGAGTTTATCTCTGGCAACTTTTTCATTCTAATTTCTTTCTTTTGTGTATATATGTATATACACAATAGGCTATAATTCCCGACAGGGTTTGCTATATTCACATTATACCCGATGCAAACGCGATGGTAAGTTCATTGCAGAGATACTCTCAAAGAGTTCGCACGGCATGAGATAAATACAAACGGCTGTATGCATGGACGTGCAACATTGAGTGATAAATATGAGTAAGACCGAGTTTTTTACGGCAGAGAGAGAGAGAGACAGAGAAAAAGAGAGAGCTCCGAGGTAGCTCCAACCGTACACGCGCGCCCAGTGAAATGCATACGAAACGTCAAATGCACTCGACGCAGTCCATCAAAATGCAAATGTCTTTTATCCACGGTGGTAATATATGCGTCCGTCGAGAATCAGTATTCAGGTTGAGCGTGGGCCGATCCGCCCCTGCGGTATCACAGCATGAATGTGTGCGCGATCGTGGATACTACTAGAGAGTAGAGGGTTACAACGGGACGAAGCAACCCTCGAAAAAGATCGTAGCACCCACAGTACCTTTCCTGGTCAATTCTTTATTTTACGACCGATCTGGTAGATCAATTTCGAAGAGAGAGACACAGCTCCTGCATCACGATTTTCAAGGTGGAGCGGCATCGATCTTAATTGATATTAGTCTCTGAGTGCGTTGAATATTCACGTTTTATGTCGCTCGTAAAGCGAAATCTAATCTAATTTAAGTATCTTGGACCCCCCGTTAGTTTGTAGATTTCGGGAAAATGACTTGCGATTATAGGATTGTTTTTGTAGATGAACGTTTCGCTCAGGAATTCGTAATTCCGAGCGGAACGTTCATCTACAAGCGGGTGATAAAAAATACGATTAATGAAGATTAAAAATATAACTGTGGAGACACAGAAATTAAATGATATTCAATAAGAAAGTTTTATTGTCGTCAGAAATAAGTAATTAATAATTTTGTATATTATTTATTAGATAAATGCTGTGCTTAAAAAAATATTTGTGATTGTAAAACTTCTTAAAAGAACCAAGATTACGTTGATCCTTAGATTTTTACAATTATTAGACATCCTCACGAGTTCTAGGGTCTTTTTTTTCCTGGAATCTTGAAGGGAGGAAGAAAGTTCAGTTGATTCTTTGCTAACACTAGCGAGACGCTTAGACAATCAAACGATTTTATCGCACTAAATTGAATTCAGATGTTCGATGGAAAATATCGTTAAAAATATCGTTGAAGATAGAAGCAGAGAAAAAGGATTCGCACGATTATCGAGGATTGTACATATTTTTCATAGCATTGATTGTGTTTCTAGCTGTAAAAAGGCATTTCTTTTGTAATACTGTTTGTGTTATTAAATCCGTCGCAACGATTGTCTAAAGAGCTTTTCCGTTGAAAGGATCGCGACAAAAACGCGCAGTTTCTTTTATTACGAGTATTTAAATAGAATAAGATGTTATAGTCCCTTTCATTTGCGCATCGTAGCGTTAAACTACAAACTGAGACTCTCGGAAAAACGAGTTTTAAGATAATGTCTTAACGGTGGAGCGAATCCGCGAGCGTAATATTACGTTGGTCTTTGCGTGAACGATGACAAGCCAGTAATACCATTGCGCAAGTTTTTTATTATCGATGTCTACATTCCTTATAATATTAATGAGTAATATCGTTTGCGATATTATGTATAATGATATTCTGAATAGCTCTAAAATGACATAATTTAAATACATTTTTAAACGTTAATTAAATTTACGAAATTCTCACATCAAAGTTATAGATAATGTAGATATAGTTTTGGAATTATATAAGCAGTCAAAGTTATAAACAACGAATTGTAATAAAGCTCTGCACGCATAGTCAATCAATCTGTTATCTATTATCAACTCGATTATTAATTTTCAGTTGAAACTTGAAACTAATTTTTAATTGATTTTGTCTTTTGATTTCTTTTATTCAAATACATTGTGCTAATCATAATATAATGAGTTTATCAACAGAAGATTTAATTTGCATTGCACATAAATATTATGTAATTATTTTTAAAACTTTTAGTGTTTTAATTAATTTTTAAAATTTGTTATTAAAGGTATTCTAATACATTAAGATACTATAATATATTAGAATACATAGAAAAAAATGAATATATAAAATTGAGTATATTTGAATATTGTAAATTTTACATTACAACAAATGTATACGATTTTTTTTTATTCTTTACTAGAAATAATTATATGGAAACTTGTACGATTAATAGTTCGCACCGTCGATACTTTCAGAAAGGAATAGGTTTAATAGCGTTTAATGAATCGAATCAGCTCGTCGAATATATCCATCATGACGATGAGATTACAACGTTATAACGATATCGTTTGGATTACGCAACAGGGTTGATGTGGAATCAATCGTTTGGCGGCGGTGATTAAAAAAAAGAGAGAACAGTGTGCAAGAGATGTTCCGTGCAGCCAATGCTGTTGAAAGTTCCAACGAAATACCCGATTTTGTTCAGTTGAACGATCCGGAATGATCGCACCGTTTAACCGATCACCGATAAAAAAGCTCAAATGAGTTTCTACACTCCACTCCTTTTCAGTCTTTTGCTTTTCAGCCCCCAAAATATTTCGTACACGCCCTCTCTTCAATCCCGCTCTTCTTCCCTTTCACATTTTAATTACAAAAATGTCTATCAATTTATTTTTGCATTTTAGAGACTGCTCGTTTGTATGTATGTTGATCCTTCTCGGAAAATTCGTGTTGCAATTATCTATATGAATCTCGTATAGCGAATGGTTAGCAATTTACGTTATCGATATTGGCAAAGTTTGTTTGCTAAACATATCCACTGAACGACACGTCGTAACAATAAAGCGTCATTCTCGTTATAGAATAGCAAAATTTTACCGATTAACTGCTGTTTACGTTATCAACTATGTATTGCTATTTATTTTAAAACTATTATATTTTAAAATAAGATTTTAATTCGCAAAATAATTAAGCTGTGTCTTAAATTAACTTTTAGAAGAGGCATTTAACAATTTTCATAAAATAGTTACTGAAATAAAAAAGCAGTTCTATATTTCAGATATTTAATGTATTTATATATAAGGCATTTAATTTAGAAATCGGTCCGAGATCTTGGACGGAGGAAGAATTAACTAATCGCATTGATCATGTGATTGAATTCAAATGTGATTTGCTAATTTTTTTTCTTTTCTGAGATCTCAGAGAAATTTTTATTATCATGAAAACAAGGATATTCGACAGAATATTTATATTTATTTTTCACGGTCGTTATCAGAAATTGCTTGATCATATCAGATTATTCGGAATAATATCAACGATTGTAAGAGAATGACATTTCGTGTAAGAAGCAATTGACATTTTCGCAAAATCACTATGTGTTTGCTTACAGCGATACAGATGGGTGGGTATTTATTCGATTACAATAGTTGTATCGTAGTAACATTATAAAAAAATTTCTACGCGCAAGCCTGCGCGAAATCGCGAGGGAAGTTTGCATATTAATAAGTTATTATAAGACGCGAGAATACGAGGGGAACAGAGAAATTAAGAATAGAAAATGCTGGTCAAACTAAGGCAGCTATACTTCAAATACCTGAGCTGCGAATGATAGGAGGAAATGAAGGTGGCGAGGAAAAAAGGAACGCGAGTAAAGTAAAGACATGGAAGTAAAGCAAACATCTCAGTTTCTCAGGAAATTCGCGTTACAAGAACAAAAGCTCGCAGTCCTATACGACATGGTCTTTTTTTCTCTTGTTAAAGAATTTTTCATTGCGTCTTACATAAGGTCGAGTGATTACGAGCGAGTATTGCCTGGAAAAGAGAATTATTCTATCAGGTTAATCGGTGGATATAACACAGCGATGGTATAATATCGAAAGATTACTGGAAATCGTATATACGATTTCGATATTTCGCGTAACGAGAATTTCAGTTGGAAAAACGTCTCTTTTAACCTACGTCGCCGCACCTTCATGTTATCACCTCTGTATCAA